ATTATATTTTAGCGTCCAAATGCTTTTCGGTTTCCAGGTCGAAAATTGCCCTGAACAAGTTATTACTAGATTATATGGAATTTTACCGTAAGCTTGAGTTCATAAAGAATGATCGTCATATATCGGCATTAGGTCTTGATAACTTGTAGTCAATATAATATAATACAACTTACACGGTACAATATGCATTCAAGTTAAGGCTAAGCCTCGCTCTCGAGTCCTTAGCCGGGGCCGCAGTTTGATATTAATATGTCATAAGTTCAAGAAGTTAAGGTAATTACTTCTTATATTAGACAAGGGCACCAATGACTGCCTATATATACGCCGCTAAAGACAAGATCAAGCGGCGTACTAAATAACATCTATGAGATAATCTAGAATAGGTAAGTGGTTTTCTTGGTGGACATATATATACATTATATACACTAGAACCCGTAGCTTAGGTTTAATGTTTATTAAGGAACCAAAATGCTATTTTCATGCCTTCTAGGTCCGCCTCGTGATAGGCGAGGCGAAAATGGGGAATCAACCAATGTCCCGGTTACACCTGAGGCTTCAGGATGGACCGCAAGGACAAGCTGGTTACGTATGCGAGTGATAGTCCTCTGCCAACGTTCGAGCTTTACGTTGACCAAGGCAAGCGCACAATGGCCATCTTGATATCTGCCATGTTTGCTAACCTTCATATAGCCAACCGTCCTTTGACTGCTGGCTAGCTGGTGCCACGATGAACGACTTTCCTAATGACGCAGAATGCGTAATAATCATCGAACTTGATTGGCACTTATGATTTCAAACCGTAAAGAGTGCCCCTAAGGTAGCGACTCTATTCTTCTAATTCGAGTTCTGGATGTTGGGAAGAAGCCAGACGCAAGGGTACAGCTTGCATCGACTTGGCCTAGACGAACAGGTAAATACGTCTAATCGTCTGCTGCATGGTATTATGCTATGGGGAAGCATCCGCCTCAGCCATCACGTCAGAGTGCCCCTCTTGAGACGTTACCAGTTACTCTTAGAGATGCTATATCTATGGCCCGGTTTTTCGGTTTCTGGCACCTGTGGACGGAGGAACTCCATACCACTAGTCCTGGTGGCTGGGAAGCGATCCACGCCACTATCTTCCTGAGGTGCCCTTTAGAGACGACAGCGGAGGCTCTGAGTTGGCGCGCCTTGGGGTACGCCTAGATGGTCTTGCCATGCCGCCTTCCTGATCATGGGAAGAGACCAGATCCGTCTGCACTGTCGCACTTTTCTACGATCGGGGGGAAGTATTCTGGCCTAGGGGCCAATTCTTTCGCTCCTCTCTTAAGGGATAATGCCTTAGAATATCGTAGAGAATGATAATTGGCGAAGATTCTTCTCATGATATAATTTAATCCGTATCTCTTCTCTAACCCGAGTCACTCACTCTAATAAAAAGACTGTAGACCCCCTATCCTATTTACGGCTATCTTACTTACGAGAGGTCTGTCTGTTTCTTTGAGCTCTTGGATAATGAGTGTGTCCAGAGAACGTTATCTAGGTCCTTTCTTGCCCACTATTTGTCCTTGGAGTCTTACCGAGGGTACGGACCCGAAGCTGTCTCGTTGCGTAGTACTTGTACACCGTAATCCCGTCAACAGCAGAGGTCAAAACGGGACAGATTCGGCCAGTAATATTAACCACAACCGCGATTCTGTAAGGATGGGTATATTCCTAATGCATCCTTGTTGAAGTTGCCTCATAACGTGGATAAGAAGGCTTAGGCTTATATAGACTGGCGCAGCCATTCCTTAGACTGTTCGCTTTCCGATCAATTTATTAAGACGTTTTACGTTTAATTCTTGTCCTTAGTTAAGAGTAATAGCGAGGCTATGACCATTAGACCGGGAGGTGAGCTCTTATGATTGCTCCCTATGTAGAATCATATAATGCTAATTTAAGTTTTTAAAATATTCCGAGAAATACACTGGACACATAGATTTAAGTACGTTAGAGGTATCTATATATACGTACCTCCTGAAATATTAGTCTCGTAGAATTTAAAGACCTTGCTAATTTATAACACTACCAACTACATCACTTGGAATAGTCAATCAAGCATTACCAGTATTTACTAGTAATAGGTAATCTTTCCTAAACTCGAAACCACGATAACCTGACATAACAATTATCGTAACTGAGGTTATAACCAACTCAACTTCTAAACCTCAATCTTTCCCCCGATGTTTAATTGGCTCCTTTAGCGCCGGTGGAGACCACCTGTGTAACCTAAACCTCCGTAGGGCAAGCGAACTTGAGGCTATCTCGTTTATTTCTCGTATAAATCCCACAAAAAAAAAAATCCACCCACGCGAAAGCCGTTAAAAAAAAAACTCCCCAAAAGAGAAAAAAACAAATGCCCACTACTGGAGTCGAACCAGTCATCTCCTCATAGCTTCCTTATTAGTATTCAGAGAATACTAGTGAGGCGCATTACCGCTGTGCCAAGCGGGCTTATGTGGATTGGTGAAAATTGGTTGCTAAAGTCCACCTATGTACGTACCCTTTACGAATTGGACATCGTGGCATGAGTAAATTATGGTGTTGACGATTTGATATAGGTGCGAAATATTGTCAAGATGGCTTTTTTAGAACCTTAGGTCGTTTTCTATAACAACTATTTACTACATCGCACAATATTTCTGATCCTTTATACTCTATCTCCTTCTTTTTTTTTTTTTTTTTTATTTTTTTTTTTTTTACTACTATTCTCTTCTTAAGTTAGTAGCTCATATTCTCTCGTATGCTTGTCTTATACATATCAGCAGAGAGTCGGAATTTTCTTTAGTTTCGGTGTCGATCTTGTTTCTTCACGAGGCTCTTCTATGGGGTGGATAAGTCTATCAAGCATCCATTACACGTCTCGACTCTATGCTGTGATTACCTAGGTAGTCTCCCCATATCCTCCTATAAGTGTACTTTACAGTTGGAAAATATCGTACCAATCGCATCCCTGCCTTTATACTCGCCTCGTATAGTTTGTTTGCTGAGTATTATACACCAAAATTAGTTTTATGCCATCACCCCGTCTACAATGCGTAATTAATAGATACCGTAAACAGTCCATAGGCTCCTTCAAGCTATCAGACCTTGTTCCCCTTCCTTTAGCCGTTTGGAGAGACACGAAACTGCGCTAGAGCGCGACATTAAACACAAATAACTTCCTAGGGGGGAGCGCCAACAGACAGCCTGATATATTCCCAGTTTTTGCTTGATAGCACGACTGCCCCTGGTTGAGTTCCCTGTACAGCTCGCATACTACCGCATGGTACAAGTATACTTCAAGACCTTCTTGACCCATTTTGGTTTTGGCCTTGGCCGAAGAGGTCGATAGTTGGTGTGTGATAGGGCTCTTCGGGGGGCCACGCAGTAAGAAATGCACCGTTCTTCGAGGCCTTGGCCGCATCTGCTGCGGTCCAGGACGACTGGTTGTTCTGTGCCCGTGATTGTGAATACTGGACAGGCGCAGACTTGGCCAAGTTGAGCCGCGAACGTGTGGACTTCTTCATTGAGTTAGACATTACGGCAGATGCTATTGACTGTAATTTGGGGTTCGTTTTATTCGAGCTGGTTTACCAGAGACCGCCAACGAAATTCCGCGGGAAGAACGTAGGCTATTTAGAAGGTTGAAGTAGGAATGCTTCGGGGCCTTGTACGGACCGTCTATACGATATATCTATGGCGTGGAACTTATAAAATTTTGTCTTCATTGGCTTGTATGTACTAGAAAGAAGAGAAGGGATGCCAGAATTCTCTACGCGAACCTCTGCTGCTTTTTATACAAAAGTACGGACACTATAGAGAAAGATACACACCTTCCGTCGTGTGGCATACATATCCGCAGAACGGATACCCAAGGGACTGGGTCCTCTGTTCTACAGCACCGAGTCACGAAAAACTGCCCATTTAGAGTAACGGGTACATACTATGATAAGTCTGACAGGTCTTAACATCGAGAACTAAATGGGGTGTCGGAACTTGTAGTCAAAGTGAAATAGCCGACCTTCTAAGTCAAACCCGCTACATAGGCGTAGGACAGAATCTCGCATATTGACAAGTGCTCTTGAATTGGGCGATCGACGTGAGAGGTAGTCTGAAATAGAAATGGCGGGAATCAAGGAAATGGACATCGGAGAGAGACATATACGCGTAAATATTGAACTCGGGTCTGCCAACCGTGTCATGAGACATCTCGTCCGGAGCTGAGGCGAAAGATTGACAACGGGCATTAACGTCACACTAACCAGAGACTTACAGGTTCGGGGATTCGTTCGTAACCAATCATGCAGTGTATGGGGAATTGCGGCTGCCCAGCTTGCCGAAATTTAAGACACTTGCTGCACATAAGCAGTTCTTCGTGGCCCGTAGATAGACCGTGTAGGACGACATAGATTGTGTAGCCAGGATACATAAGGTCAATATATGGGATATATGGGGATTGACACCAATCTTCAACGTGATCCTTGCTGTCCGCCGAGCTCGTATGAATCCCGGAATGTCTAGCAAAATATTCTTAATTACTTCATAAAATTTTAATCGGAATCCAGCGTTAAGTACTAGGTAACCTAACCTCCTAGCTTGCCAATAGCTCGCCGGCTCCCGAAACATATCTGAATCGCATTAACACTTGCTAGTTCTCTCTATCGCCTCGGCCATATTCTCGGGTCCAAGCAGGACGAGTGGATTTTGCACAAGGCACCCGGAAGGGTTTGCTTTAGAGCCTGCAGAAACGTGTTTATGCAGCAGCCTTGGTCACGTCTTTCTCGTCCTTGGCCTCCTCCTCACCCTCGAGAGCCGGCATATCATCGTCAGACTCATCCTCCTCCTCATCGCCGCCGGGCATACCACCGGCAGCGCCGAGCTTCGAGAAATCGATACCGCTAAAGTCACCGCCAGCACCACCTAGTGCAAACGTGTTAGCTTAATCATAGTTGATAGATGTTAATCTTCCTAAAAGTTACGTACCCATACCGCCCATACCGCCCATACCTGGCATGCCTCCTATAAATAAATGTTAGTCACGAGAATTTATATGGGTGAGGATTCATCTGTATATGAATAGATTTTAAGGGGGAGTATATGTTTACAGAGGGGGTTAGACCGTGTGGATTATAAATAGTTTACGTACCCATGCCGCCAAATTGTGAGAAATCTTCTTCCGGAGCCTCGTTTTGCTCGTCCTCATCGACCCACTTGTCGAAGTCGGTCTTCAAGTACTGGACTTTCTTAGAGTCCTTGAGAAGACGCGGCCAGTATTCGTCATTGAGCTCCTTCTTGCGCAGCTTAAGCTCAACATTGCGAGCGGTATGGTGGACCTGGCTCTCGGCAGGGTCGATCTCAGCGTAGAATTCAAGATCTAGGTGGTACGTTCGCTTCAGGGTCTCGGAGTGACCGGTGAAGGTTAGGGTTGTAGGCTGAAGATCAAGCTTCAGGTTCTCCTTGGGGACATCGGGAACTGAAATGGTAAGATAGATGAAGTTCTTCTCAGGTTCCGCGTTGGAAGAGCGTTGAGCCCATAGTACTACACAGAGAGTGGTGGTTAGCTTGTGTATGCTTTGATGGATGGAATATCCATGTATGAGACGTAGACATCGGCCCAGTTACATGGTACGCCGCCCAGTCCATTGGCACGAAGCTAGACATGGAGGTGCTGATTCAGGTAGTGGACTTACCTTCGGGAGTGACCTGCGCCATCTTGATTATAGGGTATCTGGATTTGTTGGTGGGGGTGACGGTATATGACGTCGGTAAAGTATGAAGGTGTAAAAAGGTCGTGGGTGAAAAGTAAATTCTTAAGTTGGGATCGCAAATGCAACGTTGGTTTAATCGTCTACCTCTTGTTGGAATTGGTGGGAAGAGGGTTTAAGAAATAAAAAAAATATGAGGCTGTTGTAGAGGAAAGCTTAATGATGCACCCCTCCGATGAACATCGAACCCGCACGAAAGCGGCGGAAGCAGCAGGGCTAGATTTGGATTTGCACGGGGGGTAGCTGCCTAGGCTTCGCCGGTAATTCGCACTGTAAGAGGTAGCCTAATTGGGCATAGACTTCGCGGTAGCGTTTGTATTGTACAATATCTTCGTATCTTAACTTAGGTAGTTAAACTTATCATAAAAGCCACTTACTTAATTGCTATATTAGATATTAGGTAGGTACTTGTATGTAGACTGGTCAATCGGTTCGTAAAACTGGTGGCGGCCTTTCCTTTTATATAGCTACACTACGGCCCTTATCGTACCTTATCGTATCTAGGAGACGTGGATTACACATTCAATATATACCTATTCAATACATACCTATTCAATACATGCCTATTCAATACAGCTCTATTCAATACAGCTCTATTCAATACATCCCTATGACCGTATCTGCTTCCTTTTTTAAGGAGTGTAGTATCGAAAGAGAATCATCAGACCCCGAGATGACTGCATGAAAGCAGAGAAATTCCAGAAGCCTCGCCTACGTACCCAGGTCCCAAAGTCCTGGATTCATCCGCATAAATAATATTGGAGTTGCATTCTTCGATACAGTCTTCTATGTAAAGAATACAAAGACTCAAGTATAGCAAGACAACCTTTGCGGATCATTAAGGATACTGTACATACGACATACGTGTATTTACTTAGGTACGGATGCAAAACAAGATTTCTGATGGCAAGATTAAATTGAATAATATGATAAATGATATCTCTCTTTAGTTAATAAATGTAGCATCTGTGAATCTGTAGCAAGTGACAGCTTTACGTAAGCATTCACTCGCTAAGACCCCTTGTCACTGACACTGTGTTGGATAACCGTCTGGTGTAAGTTAGCACTTTAGCGGGGTTAAGCTGTTCCTGAATTCCCCCCGTCCTTTCCCTGTCAGCCAGGACCAACGTCATTTAGATCGCGTTAAGCTGCATAACACACAACCATCTACGTATCAATCAGTCCCACTACTCTCCTTACCTAAGGTACCTTTCTTCAGCCTCCCCCGGACTGCTTTGCCAGATCCCATCTGAGGTCCCCCGGTAGGTACCGCCTTGTCGATTTTAATCTAGACCTTTCAATTCAGACAACCTCTACGACAACCTCTACGACAACCTCTACGACAACCCACCCCCCTCCCCCAAGATGGAGAGTCTCAAAGCACTCTTCGTTAAACCAGACCCCAACGCCCAGGTGAGCAACTCCCCATCCTTCTCTCGATGGAGATTTAGCTTGGTGGCGTTTTCAACTTACACCACTCGTCTGAAAATAGATGCGAAAATGCAATGCCTTAATACGATCCAACATCCGTAAGCTCGATCGAGACATCAACCAAGTCAAGCAAGTCGAGATCAAGACCAAGAACCTCATCATCCAAGCGGACCGACGATCCCAACGGAACCCACAACAAGCAAAGCAGGCGCAACGAGAAGTGCGCGACTTCGCGAAAGAGCTGATCCGGGCGCGGCGCACATCCGCGAGGCTAGTGACATCCAAGGCGCAGCTGAACAGCGTGCAGATGCAAGTGAACGAGGCGTTCGCGGTGCGCAAGATCGAGGGCAGCATCCGGGCCAGCGTAGGCGTCATGAAGGACGTCAACAGCCTAGTTCGGCTACCGCAACTGGCAGGAACCATGCGCGAGCTATCCCTCGAACTCATGAAGGCCGGCGTCATCGAGGAGATGGTCGGTGAGAATCTACCGGTGGACGATATGCTAGAGGACGAAGAGGAGGAAGCCGAGGGCGAAGTTGATAAAGTGCTGGGAGAGATCCTCAAGGGCCGTATGGAGAAGGCGGGCGAGACACCCAGTGTACCGCTGCCATCTCACCCCCAAGAACAGCCTGTCCAGCTGGAGGAAGAAGAAGAGGACCCGGAGGCTATGATGGACCAGATGAGGAACAGACTGGAAGCTCTCAGGAGCTAGAGTTTGGCATTTTTGTTTTTTGCATCCATCCTTGGGAAGTTGTTTAGACACGTTATGTATTGGCGTTGCGGCGTATCATTCCTGGGTGATGACTGTTCACCTTCAATGTTTGGTTGGGTAGGGTACATATTCCGTGTTTAGTTATCAGTTCAAAGAAGACGGCCAAGAAATGCCGTGTATATACCTAGAGATTACAACATTATTTCTGGTTCGATGCTTATCCCAGACTAGGTGCCTAATGCATTAGTCAATGTTTAGAGCATTTATATATCTCATTTGCCCTAACAACAGATCCATACATGAACTATTTTATAAGGCAGTCTCTTATCTCCTATACAGCTAAAGCCCCTATACTGCCAAGGTACTGAATAACTGAACACATCATCTATAACTTTGCTTGCGAATAGTTCACGAACTCATATCGCCTCCGCTTTGGAAGCTTGGAGTTTTCCAGAGGCCCCTATTCAATATTACAGAACATCACGGAGACTACTTATCTAACAACAGCAATAACATCCGTCTAAGAACAATCTGACCTATGGCCCATTGGCCCTCGTCTTTTATATAAACACTGGTACTCACGGGTTATTCTCATCATATGCGTCTTTGTTTTATTTATCATTACCTTACAGCTATGAGAATTTATGGGATTACAGCGCTCAATACTATCCTGGTAATTCGATTTAACCTAGGTATGAAACAAGAACCAAATCGAAATTAATGGCTAGAAGCAGGTCAAGAAGAGGCATAGGAGCATACCTGTTAGATCTGTTCCAGTTCCTACGTGATTTAGAGTAACCGGTACAGTATCCAAGCTCTTCTCTCCATATGTATACCTGCAAATAGAGGCCCTCGAATTTATAGCAGCTCTTCATCTTTCCATTTCAAATTCCTGGAAGGAATCCTCCTATCCCGCTATATATGGCACACCCCCACTGCTTACCTCAAACTCCATCTCGGAGTAGTAGACGGGAGATCATCGTGGACCTGGTCCTCCGCCGTCCAATCCCAGCTCGGCGCCGTAAACACGTCTTTAGCAAACTTATCCGCGCCTAATGCGTTTTCGAAACGCAACCGCTGGTCTCCCGCTAGTGACCTCGTAAACCGGAACGGCGCTATCTCCGGTTTGTCCTTGCCCTCGGTATCAGGCGGCATCCAAGCGACTGCCTGACGGTTGCTCTTCCAAGTGTTTCTGGTTATGGGGACGGAGTTCGCCGACAGCAGGCCCAGTATGAAATCCAGGATGGGCAGGATACGCGTACGCATCCCGCAGTTGGTGTGGTTCTTGTCGATTTGATAGCTGGGGCACTGCCGCAGAGTGGCGATTACGGTGTCGATTTGCAATAGGGAGGTATCCGCGATGGAATCTAGAGACGCTGGTGAGAAGTCGACGAGGAACATGAGATTTTTATTCGTTAAGAACTTGAATATCTCGCCTAGCTGGTATGAGTCGCAAGCCGCACTCGAATCATAGCCAAGCTTGCACTGCCGCGTGCGCGACGCGTAGAGAGTAATAAAGTGCCGCTGGACGGAGGCTATTGTATTTAGGATGCATTGGCGGCGGTATTGCAACTCTTCTAGTTCAGGGGTTAATACGTATGGAAATGCCATGAGAATGCATAAACTTACGCTCAAGGCCATCCTGCAAGTACCACCATGTAGCATCTGAAGACTCGTCATCTTGAGCAAACGAACTCCACCGACAAGAACCATTCATGATAATCTCCTTTGTGGCTGCTTGAAACCTAGCAGGTTGATTCAATAGCCACGACACCAGTATCTTTTGGCGTAGAACATCCTCGCTACTACGGCTCATGATTGTCGGCTCGTCTCTATTAATTTTACGGTTCGTCACGGGCCATTTGAACCTCATGCCGGCAACGAGGAACTTCGAGACCGCGGATGCACAGTCAAAGCGATCAGCCAAGACAGCTAATGTGGTTACGAATAACATGGTAAACTTCGTGACTATTTCCTTGCCATGAAGGATCCGCAGAAGATCGCCAAATGCGCCTTCGCGATGCGCGTATTGAGTTGCTTGGTCGTCATCCCGGATTTTGATCCAGGGAAGTTCCTTAGCTTCGGCAGCTTCAGGTTTGATATTCTTTACTGAGAGCGCGGCAAAGGTGTTTGATATATCCTTTGCCTCTTTAAAGCGACTATCAGTGAGAAGCCTCTCAAAATACTTAGACTGAGCCTTGAGCGCTTTGAGGTTTACACGGAAACCTAAGCGAGCTTGCTTCTTCGGTACAGGTTGTGAGTCCCGACTTAGTAGTTTGGATTGAGCGGCTCGTGCGGTTCGAATAGTATCTTTAGAATTCTCGAAAGTAACATCCAAAATCAAATCTCCATCCTCGACAATGTTGACGATTTCAGGGAGCTTTTCGGTGGGATTGGGGTCTGACGTGTTGCCGTCTATAGCGCTGCCCGAGTCGTCCATCTGGCTTGTCTTCCGTGTGAGGCAGTACCCTAAAGATACAAAGGTCCGAGGTGGTCATCAGTTCTAGGGCTCGTCGAAAAATCCAACCTTCCAAAAATGATCAAGTGGCTAATATTTGCCTTGCATAAGGCTTTAAGAGTATCAAATTCAAGTATATTTCTTAAGTATTAAAATAGTTATCGTAGACCTTGACTTTGACTACCTATCTAATAAGTACTTGAGTAGGTAGTTGAAAATACATAATGATCTTGGCATAAGATATGGGGAGCGGGACCGCGGGAGTGACGTTCACGCCACTAAATCCTGATCTGATATGTTAGGCATCTATAGCTTGGCAAGTGTGGAGACGCTAAATCTATTTCATAATCCGTATATTTTATTTATTTACTTGGTACACTTTTTGCTTCATTATTCACCTTCAATATTATGTAAATTACCCTCCATATATATACGTAGTAAAACGAACCGTTTCCTCGAGTTCTAATAACTTGGATAGAGCGTTATATAACGCCATACTCCATCCTACACCAACTTGGAACTCGATATGTGAAGCAGCAAGAATAGCGCGACTCCTATAGGTATCTCTAGTTGGCCGGCTTGTTAGGCACAGTCTTCGTCTCTTCATCGGACCTCTCAGCTTGAACGACCGGAGCAGCTGGGTTCACCTTGGGTTTCATAAAGGGCAGATGTCCTTTAACTTCGCGGTATCTCATAACGCCAAATGAGATCATAACAGCAATCCAATAGACGTTATAAGAGATGACTGAGCCATATGTTGCTGAGTTGGTCCATCCAAGTATGGCGTTAAATATTCCCCAGCCTCCTTCGCCGCCGTTCAGCTCAGGACTGCAACACTATACGATAAAATTAGCGATTGGAGAAGAGGACATGGAAGTAATTACATACGTTTACGTGCCAGACGCTCTTGTCAATGTCATAAGAGCCCGGTCCGTCTCCCAGTTCAGCCGCATCGCCACCGATAATGTTGTTCCATTGCTGGTTTTCAAAATACCATACGGAACGCGAGAAAAGACCGGCGCCCACCAGATATAACAGGCAGGTAGAAGCTATTAGGAAGTATTGTAATTTTGTTCCCGCTCCTCCCCTAATGCAAGTTAGTGGAATGCAAACCCATGCTATCATATACTAGAACTCACTTGTATAGGATGTATCCTACGATAAAACCAGCGATCAGCCCGACGACTACGGGAAGCGGAACCGCAGTTGCTGGCGCAGAGAAAGACACTCCAGCTACGAAGACAATGGCTTCGATGCCTTCTCTTAAGACAGTGATAAAGGGAAGGACGAACATGGCGTACTTCTCGGCGAAGCGCTTCAGCCAACCATTCCGCTTGCCGCCCGTGACTACCGGGGCTTCGAGAGCTTTGGCTAGCTTGACACGCCACTTCTCTTGCATTTTACCAACGCGAAGGAGGGCCACGCCCACGATGCTGATGATTATGGACGCAACAAGGGCGAACGCTCCTTCATAATTGTACTCGTTCAGTGCCCAGCTATCCTTACCCAGGGTATAAAATGCGCCAATCAGTCCGCCGGCAACGACGAGGCAGAGAAAGAAGCCGAGTCCAACTCCAACCCATACCTATAGTCTATGGTTACTCTTTCTATACTCAATGTTGAAATACTAGGTAGTTAAAGGCGCCCGTGTCTTACCTGCTTGACGAGTGTCTTGTACACTTTTACGTCTCGATTGGGGCCATCGAGGGTCTGCTTAAGGAAAGCTAGCAAGACAGAGACGATGATGACCGTTTCAAGAGTCTCTCGGAAAACGACAAGAAACACCGGGACGGCAAATACAGTATCCGCTGCCATTGCGAAGGAGAAGCCGGCGAGGGGATGCTTCCGGTTTCCTCGAGTACGAACTATTAGAATTTGGGAAGAGTGGTCCTTTGTGTATGTTTAGAAAATAGCGAATTATCTGTTGATCTGATAAATGGAATCAGATAATCTGGAGTGGGGTACAGGACCAAAGAGTGATTGGGTCTGGTCACTAGGTACGTATGATTGATGCTTGAGGGATGTGGGAGACAGGTTGTTTGCTTGGACGATAAAACGCCGGTTACGGCTAGACGAGGGTGGTTTTGAACATCTGATGGGGAGACAATTCGTTCAGCTCTGCTAGTATTCTGTGTTAGCTGAGAGGGGATTCAGCCAGTAGTCCTGTTAGGATCCTCGCGTGGCCGTTGAAAAATCGACCGTTGGGTAAAAGTTGGCACGGAGCAAAGCAGTGCGTAGAGGGTCGAACCCGATCAGCCACTAAGATGGTTCGATAAATGAGAAAAATCGAACGCCGGATCACAGCACCCTTGCAAACTACATAGATATCAGGAAGGTAACCTGGCCGCTCTTGTAGCCAGCCGTCCATCCAGCCATCCCACCAGTATCTGGAGGAGTGTAGGGTTCACAGCTTCACTAATAAGTACCTAATTAATGAGTATTACAGACAGGGTCTAGGCATGAAGGACCCGTTGTCTTGCAGCGGTACGAAAAACAGAGATCCTTGCTTGGCGGTTCAAGCTTTGCCAATACGTCCGGTCCGGCTACAACCCTAGCTGCTTCTGACACCGATCCTTTGCGGGGACTAAAGACAAGCAGCTTGATAATGAGAGGTTTGCTTTCCTCATTACACTAGACCTCACTTTAGAATTCGACCGAGTCTATATCTACGATAGGTAGTCTGTATTTATGTGGTTTTTCGTTTAATCCTTTCCCGTTCAAGTTATTTAGTACTCCCATTTTCACTGCTAATTGGTCATTGTTCGGGACTAGCGAGGTACAATACGTGAAAAAGGACCCCACGCCATTATTACATAGTACCGATCCCTAACTGGCTAAGAAATCTTATCAGATCATCGTACTGCAGCTTGTAGCAGTGGTGTGTGTGTGGGTACGGGTAGGGGTAACCCTTTTTGTTGTCACCTACCGAGAAAAATTATAATCTGTATGTTTTCTTTTAACAAACACATCCTAGACCTTGTCATTGGTCAACATTTTTATTAAGTACCTAAACCAACCGACTTCCCCCCTCCCTCCTCTGCAAAAATATTTCTATATTTCTATAGAAACACGAATATAACAATGGCTGTCTACCCAAGATCTGATAGTCCTTCCTAGAATTGGTCCGGATTCTAAAAGCATCAGTATTTTTATATACGTAGTAGTATGTGCACTAGCCGTAGCGTTATACGATGGCGTTGTTCAGAAGCTTGGTGAAATCAGGCCGTTTTCTTTTAGGGTATGTTGTTGGTCTGGAGCGGTCCGAATTCCTCGACTCTCCTCCCTGCCGCTTTAATCCTCATGATGCATCAGGTCAATAAAAAAGCGCGAGCTCTTGACATGGGTCCAATACCACCGTGCGTCCTTGCAGTTACATTCACCGATTGATAAGATAATCTATTAATTCCTCTCTGCCCCCTTGGCTAAACGGTCGCTTTCGGTAAGACTTGCTCCTGACCCATGTAAGTCGGATACTGGTACTGTATACACAGCATCTATCATCTATCTCCCACTTGGCCCAAGTCCTTGGGTAAAATAGTTTCAAATATTCCAGATTCTTCAGTTCATGTGCTAGCCCATGTGCTATCGAGGGACGTCTCTACTCTATCGAGTACCACGGGACTCCAATTTACCTGATTACCTACGCCTAGGTATTCCGCTTCCAAACTCCTAATTTCATTCCTACTCTACGGTTTTTCTCTCTAGTTAATATCACCCGCCAGACGGGATTCTTCATCATGCCCTCACTATTCAGACGCCTCGTCTCGATTGTAGCTTTAGTTGCTACTCTTCCAAGTCTCTCGAGCGCCGCTACCGTTACCTATGACTTTAGGATAGGCTGGGTCACGTCGAATCCCGATGGAGCGTTTGACAGACCAACCATCGGAATTAACGGCCAATGGCCTATTCCTCCCATTGTCGCTGATATTGGCGATAATATCGTAATTAACGTCTTAAATATGCTTGGAAACCAGTCGACTTCTCTTCATTTTCATGGCTTGTTCATGAACGGCACAACTCATATGGACGGCCCATCTCAAGTCTCACAGTGTTCAATTGCGCCGGGCTCGAGTTTCACCTACAATTTCACCGTAAAGATCCGCAACAAAAGATTTATATCGCTTATGGAACTAATATCACATACAGATTAACCAACCTGGCACATATTGGTACCATTCTCATCACAATGGACAATATCCTGATGGGCTAAGAGGACCTCTCATCGTTCACGACCCGAAATCTCCCTTTCTTGACACCTATTACAAGCAAGAAAACGAGAGGATTTTGACTGTCTCAGATTGGTATCATGATCAGATAACAGATCTACTTCCAGGGTTCATCAGCAAGGGTAATCCTACGGGAGCTGAGCCTGTTCCCCAGGCCGCCTTATTCAATGATACGCAGAACTTGAAGGTTCCGGTCCAGCCCGGAACAACTTATCTCTTCCGCGTCGTAAACATGGGGGCCTTCGCAGGCCAGTATATCTGGTTCGAAGGCCATAACATGACCATCATTGAGGTCGATGGTGTCTACCATCAGCCGGCTGAGGCCGATATGATCTACCTGTCTGCTGCTCAGCGCTGTAGCTTTTTGGTAACGACCAAGAACGACACGACAGCCAACTATGCATTTGTGGCGAGCATGGATACCGTACGTGGGCTATTCTTGAACTGAGTAATTTGCCATTCTTGGCTTACTAACTTATTCGTTACCCCTATTCTAGACTTTGTTCGATACACTGCCAGATGACTTGAATTATAATGTCACTGGATGGCTAGTATACGATGAAGCCAAGCCATTGCCGGAGCCTGCACTGGTTGATGAATTGAACAACTTTGACGATATGACCCTGCTCCCATACGATAACCAAACACTGCTTGTAAAGCCAGACAAGGAGATCCAGCTCGACGTAATCATGGACAACTTAGGAGACGGTGCGAACTAGTAAGTCCCCCGTTTATGCATCACCCCCCCTTGATGCTGATGCTGACTCCTTTTCTCCTAATAGCGCCTTCTTCAATAATATTACATACAAATCACCCAAAGTACCTACCCTCTACACAGCTCTATCTGCTGGAGAACTGGCGACGAATCCTACCGTCTACGGCTCTTTTACACACTCTTTCGTCCTCGAGAAGGGCGACATAGTGCAGATCGTGGTGAACAATCTGGACACAGGACGCCACCCTTTCCATCTCCACGGGCACCACTTCCAAGCTGTCTACCGGTCCGAGGAAGACGCCGGAACCTT